ATGTGTCATGGGATTTGACGGTTGATAGAATACATTAACTATATGTATTGAGTGATTGTATATAGAACGAATGTGTTTGTATACGTTATGTGTTTAGGGGAAGATAGGGGATGTACCTCTAAACCGGATAGTGTTGGGAGAAGATAGGAGATGAACTCCGTAGATACAGCTCATATGCTTGTCTAGAGACGTGAAGATAGAGCTCGTATGCTTATCTTTGTGAAGTGTGGATATAGCTTATATGCTTATCTGGGGATATTGTGGTTATACATATCTGTTGTAGAATGTGGATATAGCTTATATGCTTATCTGTGGATATTGTTGTTATGCATATTTGTTGAGAATATGGGTAGTGCTTATATGCCTATCCGTTGAAAAAGAGAAAATGAAAGGAAACTTGGACTCATAAGTCGTATGACATAAATATGTGATTTATGTGAATGTATCAGTGTTGGCCATCTATCAATTGCTAATCTTTTAGTCATTGTTCATGGTTGGTTTAGTATATTTCTACTGGGCTGTGGCTCACCCTATATGGGAATATCATTTTCAGGTACAGGTAGCATGCCACCTCCAAGGACATAGCTTGGGAGGCTAGAGGCGGACATACTTTTGTCGTTTTACCTTTTTGATGTATTACATGTAAATTCAAGCCAAGGGCTTAATGTGTATGAGTTAGTACTCTTTGGTTGTAACCAAGTGTTAACTTGGAAAGCTGTAAGCCCGTAGGGCATTTGCTTTTGTTGTTAACATGTAATACTTTTTGTAATGAAACTCTGATAAATGAAAGAATGTGGAACTTTGAAATATCAATGCATGTCTTATTTAATGGGTTTAATGTTATTTTTTTGAGGGCGTTACAACTTGTTTATTAAGATTTTAACAAGGTTAAACTTGATTTCGAACTCAATAAAAATTTAACGAACTGAGCTCAAGCCAAGTTGAATTAGGCTTGACTCAAGTTCGAATCTATTCACAAGTCTTAATGAACTAAAAAAATTATAAATTTATACTTGCATTTGAGACTAAAATTACAATTGAAATTTTGATTATACAATTATATATACAATATATAAAAACGTACTATAAGAAAAATCAATATTTTACCAAAGTAATAATATCTACCGCTATTATTATATAAATATATTATATATAGTTAGCTATTATTTAAATGTATAAATAACATATTTATCTTATTGTTTATACATATTTTTACGTTATTTAATATATAAATAATATATTTATTTTTTTATTTAAATAAATATTATACAAGCCCAACTAATAAGTCGAGTTAAAGTATGTTTGGATTTGTTTATTAAGCTTTTTAAAATTTCGAGTTCGAGTTCAAGTTCAAGTTCAAACGTAATAAAAATTTAATAAATTGAATTGAAACGAACTCTTACCAAATCAAATTTGAGTCTATTCATAAACGATTCTATTTATTCACAACCCTAGAGAAGGGAGACACCGTGAGGATATTTCAATTGATATTCAGTAGCTTTCGGATCTGAGTCACGGGTGGGCATCGATTGGTTGGACTTATGTTGCAAATTGCGAAATTTAAAGACGCTGTTACATTTCACCACCACCAAACCATCGTTTGAAAGTCACTCGACGTCAAGAACATTTTGAAGACTCATTGGAATGTCCACAACATGACCGGGAAAAAAAAAGAAAAAGAAAGGGAGAAATTAGAGCGAAAACATAGCAAAATTTAACTACATCCTCTAACACCACAAAACATGGAAAAAAAAAAAAAAAAAAACCTCTATATTATACATAATTTTCAGTTCACAAAATTATAAAAATTTAGAATTTAAATTTATTACTCATCAAACTGCATAAATTTGTAATTTCAAAACTATTAAAATTATCAATTTGTAATTCAAAACTACAAAAATTATCAATTTACTCACCTGTAATTTATCAAAACACAATTTCACTTCGCGTCAATGGTGGTAATATTGGATCAGTAATTTCTAAGGGTTTGTTGCTTTTCAATTTGTCAACGTTTACTTCTTTTACTTTTTTTTTTCTTTTTTTTTAAAAGGGAAAAGAAAAGAAAAGAAAATGCTATAGTCTAAGAGAAAAGTGTAAACATATCTTCAAAATTACTAAATTTTGCAGTTCTTATTGCCTGTATTTTTAACTCGAAAATTATTTTTTCATAATTTCAATATTTTTTCATTAAAACAAGAAAAGAGGTGTATTATGTATAGCAAAAAAAAAAAAAAAAAAAAAAAAACTAAGAGATTGAATGAGAAAGACAGAAATTTTTTGATCGGCAAATGTTAGTTGGCAATTGTTAGATTAGCACCTATGGGAGAAAATCTCCTCACCCTTGGCAAAGTTCTTAAGTGCTTGCACTTCCTTAATTCAAACCTTTAAGGGGAATTGAATCCATGACCTCCTTGGGACTAAGTTCTAAGTAATGCATGGTGGCCAACTAGGCTAGGCCTAGTTGGTTATGAGAATAACAGATATAGGAAGATGATTGTATTTCAGTAATCATTTTTGGCTTAGATCTGACTGGATCTGATGTAAATCTACTTAGATCTACTCTAAACCTGAACATTCTAGTGAGTTGTCTTGTGATCTTGACTAGATCTGAGTAAATCTTTGTCAAAAAAATCCCCGAAAACTTATCTCTTTCGTTGTCGGTAAGGGCGAAACAAGAAGTTAGTGTTGGTGGTTGTCGGTGAATAGGGCCTGCCCTGAGATTTATGAGGCCTTAGACAGGATTTGAAAGTGGGGCCCTCCCACATATATATATATATATATATATTTTTTTTTTAATAAAAAAATTACATATAAAATAATAAGTTGCCAATAATTATTTTATTATTTAGTAGTTACAAAGAGTTTCCTTACGCATACAATCATCAAAATTTATTTTCATATATTAAGATACGAAAAAATCATTACAAATACTCAAAAAAGATAAAATAAGGTCTTCTTGTTTTATAATTTAGCAATAATTAACGCAAACAACATAATTCACTGATATCTGATAATAAAATGATTATATTATTGGGATATGATATCTGATAACACAATCATAATTCACACAAATCACAATACACTAATTATTTGATAACAAAACACAAATTATTGAAAAAAAATTGGGAGAAAAAATTAAGGCAAAATTATTCAATTAAATTATGATAAAGAGAGAGGGCAAAAAAATTAGGACAAACAAAATCACGGTAAAATTATTCAATTAAAATATGATAAAGAGATAGGGCAAAAAAATTAAGATAAAATTATTTATTCTATTAAATCTTTGACATTAGACTCCATTTAGACTCATTAAGCGCCCGTTTGGGAAGACGGTTTTGGGCTAATTTAGCTACTACCTTCCAAAAAAGGCTAATTTAGCCACTACTGTCCAAATCACCTTCACGTGCTTACACAGAACCCATGCCATGTTGAATTTACCAAACTGCCCCCTTCCACTCTAATACACACTAGCAGCATTGCCTCACCACACACACACACACGCGCTAGGGCACACCACATGCTGAACCAAAAAGGGGGAATCCCCGATGGTGAAAGGCGAATCGCTGACGCTATGACTAGAAGCCATCTTGCGAAGCTTGCCAAAGCCGATCACCACCGTACTACACATCATCGGCGTCACAGAAGACTCGCGGATATCTCAATTGAGCTGAACGCAGCCTAGGTGCACATCTACGACATTGAAGCATAAATCACCGGCCCAAACACCACTGACCGTCAGGTAGTGGTTGGTTTTCTGTATTACCATTGTTTTTTTGTGCATAAATCCGTGTGCCTTCAACCATCATCTCTAAAAGCCATTGTTATGTTATTTTCCTCGATTTATTTTTTTAATGTTTATTTTGTGTGTGGCATTTGGGAAACCCACTGATCTGTTGGCAAAAACCTTCCTCAACCTCTAATTTTTTTTATTTTTATTTTTATTTTTTTTTTGTTTTGTAAACTACAAACTCTGAGCATCGGCATATAACTGATTGAACAAGTGTTTTGGTTGTGAATTTGAGGTTCATGTTGTGTTTTTTTTTTTTTTTGATGTTATTGAAGTTGTTTTCTGTTGATGTTGTTTTTTTTGGCTGGGGATTTTCGGGGTCGGGGAAACCCGATCCCCGTTAGTTTTAACTGATCTTCTGATGTGGTGAGGTTCATGTTTTGTTTTTTTGTTTTTTTTCTGAAATTAGTATAATTCTTGTTTCTATGTTGCGAATTTCATGAATTAATTTTATTTCTATGTTGTGAAATTGGTATAATTCCTAGTAAAAATTAACTCTTTCAACATTAAGGAACAACACTGAACAAGAATTAATTTTTTGCCAAAAGTAATTTTTGTAGGATTGTAAGTAACACCATAATTTTTATTTATTTATTTATTTTTTGCGAACATGAATTAAATTTTTTTTTGGCCTTCTCAATTGTTTCTGTTTTTTTGCCAACATGAATTAAATTTTTTTTTGTAACTGAGGTTCTGTTTCAGTTTTTTGCCAACATGAATTAAATTAAATTTCCACCATTTTATTCTGCTTTTGTTTTGTTTTGTTTTTTTTTTTTTTTGTTTCACCATGTCGTGAAATTTTCTTTTTTGTTAACATCTTCAATGAAATTTCTGTAATTACATATTTCTCTTGGAACTTTTGAATTACATTATTTTTGACTCTGCTCCATGAAAATGTTGGGTTAGCTTTTCGATTGTTGAATTATGTATTTATCTCTTCACTAAAACTGTCATGGTTTCAATAAGGATTTTAAATTATGTGCAATTTCTGTTTTATGAAATACAAACTATGGGACCCCTCACTTAACATGACAAATTTTACCGCAATAGGAACAGTACACCTACGATTTAACACATGGAATTTGGTTATTTGTATCTTTCTTTAGAAGGATAGAACAAATGTAATGAGTTGTACATTAATTGAAAAATGGAAATGGAGACGAATTCCAACTATGATTTATGTTATTTGTGGTTTATAGGAAAATGCTCGCATTTCACATACGGAGAAATTTATAATTGACAATGTACATTTTCGCTGTTGTAGAACCCAATTTTCAAATAACATCTGTTTATTTTCCTCAATTTTTAACAATATGACACTTTCCTAAACTGTTAATAATGTGCCACCTATATGTTAGTCTTTCGCTCGGTCAGCAAACATAGGATGGCTTCGTTTACCTCTATTGTAACTTCCAATACATGGCCACGTCAGATCTGTGGCTGTGGCTATGGCCACTGTATTATTAAGATATCTAGGTCGACCAAAAATCTAGGACGTCCCTACTTTGCATGTCCCTACCCTGTGGTGAGTGCCCAATTCATTAACGGTTATAACTGCATTTCATTATGAACCAATTGACTAGTAGCTTCGTTATTTGCATTCGTTAGCCCTGTGTTAGTTGGATTGGTTGGTGCGAAGAACCATGCTGATAGAGCACAGACTATGCGTCATCCAGAAATGACATTGTCATTCAATTGTGGGATGATGTCATACAAATTCAACAGTCATTGCGTCTCCTTAAAACCATTGTCTACGTGCTATGCATTGTCGTTGTCATTTTGTTGTTACGTATGTAAGGAATATTGTAGGAGGTCGTACAAATGTTGCCTGTTATGTAAATAAGTTTGACTTGCATTGCATGACTAGTTTGGAGTAGACATTAATGACTAATCTTTTGTACTGTTTCACTTCAGATGTTTAAATTCGTTCTGCATGAATGTTATGTGTCTGTATTGCTATGTTAATTAATTAATGTGCAATGATTATATACTGTCCAACGTAACATCCAGTTATTGTTTTCAATGTGCAATGTCCATACATTGTTCATATGGCAACCATTTCAAATTACTGTGCTACGGTCTTACATGTATGTCTGTAACAAGCAAAGTTGGTGATTGTAAGGAAACTTTAGGACGTTGTTAGAATGTTGACTATTATCCCTTTAGTTTGCCTTGCGTGCCATGACTAGTTTGGGTGAGACATTAAAGATTACTTTTATTGTACTGTTTCTATTCCAATGTTTTTAACCGAAATGCATGAATGTTATGTGTTTGTGTTCCTATATGTTAGTTACTTTGCAATGGTTATATACTGTCAATTTTAGCATCCATTTAAATTGCTTAATGTGCAGTGGCCATATATTGTTCATGTGGGAACCTATTTACATTATTGTCCTATAGTCTTATATATATGTCTATAACAAGCAAATTTGTGATGGTGATAATTTTGCCCATAAATTAGATGCCTAACTTGCGTGGTTAGTCCAAATGGCTTCCACAAGTACGTCTCCTTGTATCCCTTCGAAAAACAAAGGCATTGCTCCAGAGAAGTCAAGCAGTTTGGAAGAGACACACAAGCAGTTAAACCACAAGGCCTCCTGGGACAATACTCAATCAGAATTTCCCTGCAGTTGATTACCAATGAGATAACAAAAGAAAATCGGCCATTCCTAGTCCTCAGCCAAGCAGGGTACAAGTCGTTGGCAAGGAAATTTAAGAAAAAAACAGGACGAAAACATGGCCTCAAACAGTTGAAGAACAAATACATGAGTCTCAAAAAGATTGGAATGCTTGGAGGAAGTTGATAGATTCTAGCAGAGGCGTGCCAGGGATTGGTTTTGACATCGAAATTGGTATGTTTCAGGCGTCCAATGAGTGGTGGGACAAGATGGAATCGACAAGTACAATGTAGTTTCCGTATGTTTGTTTCGTTTCATATTTTCTATTTGTTATTTATATTTTCCATTTTTGTTGTTACTCAAACATTCACCTATTGCATGTAACATATACTTTTTTTTTTTTTTTTTTTTTCAATGTTTTTTTTTTTATCAATGTCCAATTTTGTAGATAAACAAGGCTTGTGCAAAGTTCCGAAAAAAAAACTTTGGAATATCGCGAGCTGATGGAGACGGTCTTTAAAGGGTCATCAGCTACTGGTAAACACCATTAAACCCTGGGAGAGAAAGTTGTTGAAGCTGCCGATGTGTCATCCGATTCTGTGGACAGTATCGGTGCCCAGCCATTTGTTGATCCAATACTCGCACAAGCAGAGGATGTGGACCAGTTCAGGCTAACGTTAAACGGAAACAGACTCTGTCAACAAGTTGTGGAAAGTCGAAGAAAGCAACAAGTGGCGCGTCAATTATAGCAGAAAGCATGAACAATCTTACAAATTTGGTCTGTACCCAGAATCAACAAGTTACGGTGAGCCACCTGACAGGCAATGAATCATTGTACACAATTTTGGAGTGCATGCAAAGGCTTAGGAACATTCCTTCCCTTCTTGATACGCCGTTATTCCATTATGCGTCGACGCTGATGGAAAATGCAGATTCCTAGGAGGTGATGACGTGCCAGCTTGATGACGACCACATTGTAGGCTAGCTGACACAAAAGCAGCTGCAGTTGAGTGTGGTGGCGCCGTTTGTGAACCTAAATGGGGCTCCCCGGGTGTGATAACAGTGTCGTACTGAAGACGCGTTCCATTCGCTTTGCTTTACAAAACTTTTAATTACGTTCATGTTAGACTTGTACTAAACAGGATGGATGTGGTGCTTTTTCCTTTTTTGGCTTTTTTGGCTTTTTTTTTTTTTTTTCATTTGGCCCCTTTTTATAAGACATTTGCATGTGTTGTGTATGTTTATTGACGATTACGTAGGATGGTTGTGCGCTTTTTTTTTTTTTGATGGAACTGGATGGTTGTGTTTGTTATTATTTAGTGCGAATTCGATGCGCAATGGCGAGTTGCCATGGCTTGCTTGTTTATTTATTTAGTCATTTGTTTGTTGTTATGTTGTTGTCCAGTTGCTATTGGTTGTGTCGATAATGTACTTGATTTTTTATTAGTTTGTGTATTACCAATTACCACCACGTTCCTAGTTTGTTTATTTGACATCATTTCACATGCAATTGTACTTCACTGTTAGGCATACAAACCACGGTGACACAAAGTAAATATTTCCAAAGATGTTGGCAATATGTAATTGACACCTTCAATTTTTCCTTTAAGCCAGAAGTCACGTGTAAACTGATTGAAACCGTCCCACTGTTGTAGGTCTCGCTTCAATCGACGTGATGAATCTCGGGGATGGAAGCAACAATCTGGAGTTAACGGAAATGCTTAACTAAATGGCCATATAGCTGCAACAACAAAACAACTAGACATTTGTAGAAGCATGCCAGTATGTGCTAGAGTGGTACGAAAAACACATGTCTAAAACACTGTGTCGCACTTCAATTTTGATCGGACCGTGTACGCATGGATAACCGAACTACATGCGGGCCATGTGGGTCGATTTGAAGAAAATGTGTGCATGTTGAAGGAAGTTTTTGCAGCTTTGTGTCACACATTAGTAACTGATTTTGGGTTAGAAGTACCACAACATCCACATGGATTAGCTGTCAAAGAAAGCGTTGCAATGTTTATCCACGTGTTGAGAGGGTTTCAAAATTGGAAAATCCAAGAACGGTTCCAACATTCAGAGGAGACTGTGTCCCAGCACGTGCATAATCTATTAACAGCAATGAAGGAGTTCACTATTGTACATTACAGGTCCACATATAGTCAGCATCACATACATCCATACGTGCGATCTAAATGGAAATACCTATCGTTCAAAGTACTATTTGAAAGCCTCACTCAGTTAAGCAAGTGAATCTTCTTATTATTACATTTTATTGGACGTGACGTATGAAAAAAAATACCCATTTCATGTACCCCTAGGAGTAACAACACAATTAGGTTGTTGGTAAGACTGTATCGAAGCCATAGACGGAACACAAGTTAGTGCACGGGTTACGGGGCCAGATGCGACAACATATTTTAGTAGGAAATATTGTCACACGCAAAATATCATGGCCGCCTGCAATTTTGACATGTGTTTCATCTTTGTTTCACTTGGATGGAAAGGAAGTATGTACGATAGTCGCATCTTTAATAAGGTACTAACAAATGACAATGTCTCATTTCCACATCCTCAAGAAGGTAACACAGTGCATTGAAAATATTTGGGTCCATAATTTTTGGAAAACATCGTTACTTAAAAATAAAACACTCATTGAAAATATTTGGGTCCATAATTTTTGGAAAACATCGTTACTTAAAAATTAAACACTCTTTTGGTGGCTTGTTTGAATTTTTGGTAATGTCTGCAAGTAAATATTATCTTGTCGATGTTGGCTATCTGAACTGGGTAGGTTACCTAGCACCTTTCAAAGGCAGTAGTTACCACCATCAACAATTTTGTGCTAATGTCGAGCAAAGGACAGCGAACACCCCTAGGGAATTATTTAACAAAGTTCACTCGTCGTTACGCAGTGTGGTGGAACGCACATTCGGCACTTGGAAAAATTGATGGGGGTTTATTAGAGACATGTCTCAGTATGATTTTGCAAATGTGCAAGTTCAGTTAGTAGGTACGTCAATGGCATTACATAATTTTATACGTCGAAATATATGCAATCCAACAATTGTTAACCCCATTGTGAATGAGGAAAAGACAATGGTAATAGTAAATGCCATACCAGAGGTTGAACATGACGAGGATGGTTTAATGGTTGGGGATGAGGACCCGCATATGGCATTGGTGTGACTTCACATGCGGGACAAGTTAGTGTACATGCGTAATAACGGAATGTTAAGAAATATATAATAGTCTATGTAATATTCGTAGGCTTGTAACATTGCTAACCCATGTGGAAGAGTCTGTATGTAAGTATATTAGCATGTACAATATGTATGTGTTTACACGGGAAATAATCCCTTTGACATTACTGAACACGTCATTTTCCAAATTCAAATGTACGAAAATGTGTACAATGAAAAATTGAAAAAAATTTCCAACAAACGGTTCACATCGATGACGTAAATGTTTGAAAATGTTTGGGTGTTTTCTTTAAAAAAAACAACTAATTTTGAAAATATGTAATTTTCACGTCATTTAACAAAACAAAACATAAAAATGCCTTTTCCAAAACACAGAAACAAATTAAAAACAAAAAAATTTAAAAAACATAAAAAAAAATGTTTTCCAAAGACCAAAAAACAACTTACAAAAAAAAAAAAACAAAGAAAACAAAAATTATCATTCACCACGCCATTTAAAAGAAAAATTAAAAAAGCCTTTTCGAAGTACTGAAAAAAAAAAAAAAAAAAAAAAACTGACATTAGCATGCATTCCACGCCACATTTGCATGAAAAGCCTTCCCCCAAACCCATACTCCCCCCCTGTAGACACCCCATGTCTACACCCCCCAAAAAAAAAAAACAATAAAATAAATTTGAAATTAGCATTTTTCACGTAATTTTTTTTTTAAAAAAATACACATGCAAAAGCCTTCTGGAAAACAAAAAAGCAAATTTATGTAAAAAAAAAAAAAAAAACAATGAAATGACAAACAAATATTATAAGAATAAAATTTTCCACTTCAATAAATAAAAAAATAAAAAAAAACCACAAAAAAGCCTTATCCAGAAAAATAAAACAAATGCAAATAAATAAATAAAATAACGACGCTGACGTGGCGGGGTCAGCCGCCCAGCAGTGCCCATTTCATACCCCAAGGGCGGTTAGATAATTTACCATGGGGACACCTTACCAAAAAATTAAAAAAGTCAAAAAGTCTATTCTAAATCAGGCTTTTTAACCCTAGAATAAAATAGTCAAAAAATACAAAAAGCTAACCCACTTTCCAAACGAAGGCTAAATCATATATATTTGTTTAAACTAATTATACAAAATTTTAATTGAACCTAACAATGATTATATATATATATATATATATATAAAATTTGGCCTAACAGATTTTTTTTAGGGGCTTTTTAGTCTAGACCTCAAATAATAAAAAAAAGATTGGGTTTTGAACTTTAATATAATATAAAACTAATAAATTTAGAACCTTATTTTGGACTAAATTTTGGAAGCCCTAAGTACGGGCCTTAACGGCCTTAGCCCAAGGTCGGCCCTGTTTGTGAATCTCAATCGATGGTGGTCACTGATGAGTGTATATCAAAGAGAGAAAGAGAAGAAAGAAGACGCGCTTGAGAACTTTCGAATTTACACAAAAGATTATGGAACTAAATAAAGTACACATCTTTCAAAGAGACCATACAGGTAATTTGCCCTATTTTCTTTTAAGACACATAGTAGGGTTGGCATGGGCTCGATGGCCCATCTAACCTAATCTTTTTTGTATGGGCTTGAAAACACACACACACACACACACACATATATATATATATATATATATTTTAAATGGGATGGGCTTATTCTTTTTTTATGGGCTCGGAAAAGACAGATAGTATATATTGAATGCGATGGGCTTGACTATCGGTAATGAAACCCAACCCACGCTGACTCGGCCCAATTATCATTTATATAATATTATTTTGAGACAATTATAAAAAAATAAAATAATATTCAAGTTTTGACTCTTATAATAAAATCAATTTTGAGTTTTTAATTAATCACTTTAAATCTTAATTTTTTGATTCATTTTCAATCTATTTTCATTAATTAAAACCGATAAGAAAAATAGTTTACATTGAGTTTAGTTATTAAAATACCTATTTTCATGTCGAATTTACTTAATGGAAATCGACAAATAGTTCAGATTGGAGACAAACAAAAAATTCAAAATTTAAATTGATAAAATTAAAAATTCAGAATTTATTTTATTACAAAAGTCAAAAACTATAATTTTTTATTTTTTATTTTTTGTAATTTCCTTTATTATTTTATATAGTATATATGTAATTTAGAAAAATACACCCGCCAAACAAAGACTTTAGTATGTAATGAATAAATATTAAGTGTTTGTGTAAGCTAAATTATAATTTTGTAATGTTTACTTTTAATATAATATGTGTGTTTGGTCCTCGAGCTTGAGATTTTAACATTTATGATTGAACTTGGAAAGAGAATTTTAAGACTAATGTTACGTAGGGCCAGATTTGGACATGAGACTTACATCCAATGATGTTTTGTAACTTGTTACATTTTTCTATTTTTCAAACCATGCTATATATTTAGCCGATGATATTCTAAGACCTTATGATAATTTTAAAGGTGCTACTAAATTATTTTTAAATGTTTTAGTAAGTTTAAAAATGGAATATTTTTACAAATCCCATAACATAGATTTATAGTAGACTTCCTAAACGATTTTTTAACTCATTAAGTTTCATACTTTTTTTATAACCAAAATACACTTATCAAATTAAAACTTGAGATTAATGCGTAGCAATTTAAACGAAGCATTAAAAGATTTTTTTCTTATTTTAAATGTTTAGAATTTCATAACTTTTGTTATATACATCCGTTCTTTATAAAATTTAATTTATTTTTTATAACTTTCATTCTACACATCTGTTTTTCATAGAATTTTCAAAACTTTAGAATTTATAGATTATAAAAATAGGGAAAATTTTAACTTTCATAAATTTTTAGACGTTTGAAAAAAATAGCGAATTTCACAGTTTTCCAAACTTAGGAATTGAGAAATTTTGTAGTTCTTAGAAATCTAGAAATGTCTCAATTTTCATAAAATTT